CCCCAAAACCCCAAAACCCCAAAACCCCTGCAAGCAAGCAACAATGATAGATAATGAATCATTAAGATTAATTAACATTTATTCATTTTCTGCCAGCTGGAGCAGGTGCACCTCCTTGTGCTGCACCTTCATCAGCAGATCCTAATAAGTTAGGTAGAATCATGGCTGCGAGGAGGATGTAAAGCCAGTATTTTCTCAGGAAACTCTGCTCTTCTTCTGGCTATTCACTCTTGGGTAGCTTTTCTTTCATTTCCTTGCCTAGGGAGTCATATTTGTATTTATTGAAAATAGGTCTAGTTCCTTCAACAATGGGCGATAGATTTGACTTCGTGTCAAACACTTCATACTGTCTAGTGCTCATTAATCTTCTCTTTTTTGGGTGCTTCTCTAAGGTGGCCAGATATTGATAATCTATCACATCAAATTAAATGCCGTTTAGGTTGCCCGCATTATCTGCATGGAAAATAAGTGTGTCATTATAGCCATTCTTAGAGTATTGACAAGCAGGAATTGATGTAAAAATGTCAAAGTCTGGCACTGATACTTGATAATAGTTTCCCTTTTTGCAGCTATTTTCAAAGTCTTGTTTCAGACTTTCGCCTGTCGAGATATCATTATTTTAAACCTTCACTGAGAGCACCTTTCCTGCTGAGTCTTTGGATAATTCAATAATTCCTCTTTCTTCCCAATTAGCTGAATCGTCTAATCTGTGCATGAGTTTATGAGTCACAATCTTGGATGGCTTAATGAATTGAGCTTATTATTAACTCTAGAAAGCTGGCTAATGAGTATTAGCTTTATGATTGGTTTGACTATAGTCCTCTTCATCTAACTCAATGTCATCTTCAAGGACTGCCCTTTTAGAGATAGCCACGCCTATTATCATGATAGTAAACAAGCAGAGCTTTGATTTCAGCATCATGTTTATTTTAATTATTATTATAAATTTTGCAAATAATTAGGATTAGACATATTGGGGTTTTGGGGTTTTGGGGTTTTGGGGTTTTGGGG